CGCGCGGTGGGCTCTGTGTCTCCGCCAGCCCCCGAGCGCCGGGCGGGGCTGAGCGTCTCCGGGCTGCGTGTTGCGGTGTGCAGTGCGTGTGTCGGCCCTGGGCCTGCTGCTGGTGGTGCTGACATCGCCCGTGTCGCTCATAACGTGACCTGTCACCTGATATTTCACTTGTTCCCAGGGTTTCCCCCTCCTTCCTGGTTTTTCAGCTCCCCACGAGTCTTTGTGTTTGGGTGACACTGTGCTCAGGAAGTTCCAGCTAACTCCAGGCATTGGTGCCTGCAGGGTTGGAGTGTTGCTGCTTGGGGAAGCTGCTGTTGCTGTCTGAGCTTCTCACGGGGGGTGAAGAGCCTTCTCTGCTCTGTGCTCCTGTGCCCCTTGCACCAATCCCCCACCAGCCTCCCAGCGCCTGGTGGGGCTGAGCACTTGCAGGCAGCAGTGGGTCTGGTGGTGATGCTGATATCTCCTGTGTTGCTCATAATGTCACCTGTCACTTGATATTTCAGTTGTTCCCAGGCTTTCCCCCACCCTAGAGTCTGTGTTTTTGTCCTGCTCTGTGTTCAGGAAGTTTCAGCTAACTTGCTGCAGTGCTGCCTGCAGGATCAGGGTGTTGCTGCCCGGGAGCTTCCCACCGGGCGTGAAGAAGCTTCTGTGCTCAGTGGACTTTGTGCTTCTGCCACCAACTCCCCAAACATCTCATGGGGCTGAGGATTTCCAGGCTGCCGTGGGACTAGTGGTGATCCTGGTGTTGTCTGTGTCATTCCTAAACCAGCTTGTCACTTGGTATTTCACTGCTTCCTGGTTTTTCAGCTCCCCACGAGTCTTTGTGTTTGGGTGACACTGTGCTCAGGGCCCGTGTCGCTCATAACGTGACCTGTCACCTGATATTTCACTTGTTCCCAGGGTTTCCCCCTCTCTGCAGTCTGTGTTTTTGTCCTGCTCTGTGTTCAGAAAGTTCCAGCTAACTCCAGGCATTGGTGCCTGCAGGGTTGGAGTGTTGCTGCTTGGGGAAGCTGCTGTTGCTGTCTGAGCTTCTCACCAGGGGTGAAGAACCTTCTCTGCTCTGTGCTCTTGGTGCTCCTTCCACCAATCCCCCACCAACCTCCCAGCGCCTGGTGGGGCTGAGCACTTGCAGGCAGCAGTGGTGGTGATGCTGATATTGTCTGTGTTGCTCCTAAACCAACCTGTCACTCAGTATTTATAGAATCATCATAGAATTTTAGGGGTTGGAATGGACCTCACAGGTCCCCCAGCCCCAAGCCCTGCCCCGGGCAGGGACACCTCCCACCAGAGCAGGTTGCTCAAGGCTCATCCAACCTGGCTGTGAACACTGCCAGGGTTGGGGCAGCCACAGCCTCCCTGGGCACCCTGGCACAGGGGCTCACCACCAGAACAGGGAAAGCTTCTTCCTGATATCTAGGAATTCCAGGATTTCCTGATTTCTAGGAATATCCAGGTATTTCAGTGTTCCCAGTCTTTCCCCCCTCCCACGAGTCTGTGTTTTTGACCTTCTCTGTGTTCAGGAAGCTTCAGCTAATTCAAGGCACTTAGTGCTGTGCTGTTCAGCTAATTACACTGGTGTTGCTAATAGTACATAATAATGCTGATTGTCTGCATTCCATGCCCTTTTTTTCCCCTCCATTTTTGAATGTGTTTTCTGTTGGAAAGTGGCTTGATGCTCAGAGGCTGATTGGGAAGGCTTGTTTTTGAGAGAGGATCATGCCAGCCCATGGAGGTGTGAGTGCTTGCTGGATTCAGCCTCTATAGTTCTATGTCCTGTATTTGAGGCTCTAAAGCTGTGGCAAAGGGTGGGAAATCAGAGAGGGAAAAGCAGTGGGAGAAGGAGTAGGAAGATAACTGCGCAATGCTGTCGAAATAAAAGGTTTCATGAGTAACAAAACAGGATTTTCTTGTATTTTCTCTTCCTCTTTCTCACCTTCCTACTTGGAGCTGTTTAGCTTTTGTTTCAGTGCAGTACTTTGTCCTAGGCATAAATTTTTCAGGCCAGTTCTTCATCTTAAACTTAGTTGCTTAAGTTTTTTTTGTCTCTGCTGGTCTTTGAGTGTGCCTAGTGGCAACAGGGCCAGAGTCACATCTGCAGTGGAAGTGAGCTCTGTGTGGTTTAGGAGCTAACCACGTGTATATGGATGATTCAAACATCAGTTTAATCTTTCTCTCCTTGTTCCAGATGGAAAGGAAGAGCCCATGGTGTTTGCTTTGCATGTCAGCAGAGGCTGAACAGGCATGAAGGAGATCCTGGTGCAGATGGGAAGCACCAGAAGAGAAGAAATGAACCCAACAAATGATGCTCCAATGCTTGGGGCCATTTTTGACTGGGACTATCTCCTCTGGGAAGTTCGTTTGATGTTTATAGCTGCTGGTTTTTTCATCTACTTGGGAGTGTTCCTCCTGTCCCACTGGTTGTCTTCATGGAAAAGTGCCACGTACCGTGCCTTGTCTGCCAAGGAGAAGGTGTTCTGGAACATGGCAGTGACCCGTGGAGTGTTTGGACTCCAGAGCTGTGTGGCTGGGCTGTGGGCTCTGCTCATCGATCCAGTCTTTCAGGCTGACAAAGTGTATTCCCAGCAAAAGTGGAGTTGGTTTAACTGTTTAATAGCTGCTGGATTCTTCCTGCTTGAGAACGTAGCAGTGCACGTGTCCAACGTTGTCTTTAGGACATTTGATGTGTTCTTGGTAGTTCACCATTTGCTTGCATTTGGTGGCTTGGCTGGTCTGGTGGTTAATGTGAGGTCTGGGCATTACCTGCCTCTGATGGGAATGTTGCTGGAGATGAGCACTCCCTCCACCTGCATTTCCTGGATGCTCCTGAAGGTAAGACAAGTTCCAAATGGTGTGTGTAACAGCTTCCATGCAGCTCACTTAGAATCCTAGAACCATCAGGGTTGGAGGAGACCTCTGAGATCACCCAGTCCAACCATTAACCTATCACTGCTGGAACCCCCAAACCCTAACCCAGATCCTCCAGTGCCACATCAGACACCTCTGAAACACCTCCAAGGATGGTGACTGCACCACCTCCCTGGGCAATATCCAGTGCTGAACACCACAACAGGGAAAACATTTCTCCTCACATCTGACTCTGCCCTGGCTCAGCTCAAGGCCCTTTGTGCCCAGCACCTCTGTCCCCACTCCTCCCCAGCCTGGAGCTGCTTGGGCTGTTGTGTGCCAAGGGCAGGAGCAGCACTGAGCCTTGCTGACCCTCCTGCAGTTGTCCTGTCTCAGTGCTGTATGGAAGGAAAAGCCTGAGAGTGTGTGGCTGGGAAACTGGATATTTGCATTAGTTATCCAGGTCCCTCGGTTCCTTATCTGGCAGTGACAACCTCACTCCTGTGTGTTTGTGTTCTTTTCCTAGGCTGGCTGTGCTGACACCTTTTTCTGGAAGGCAAACCAGTGGGTGATGATCCACCTGTTCCACTGCCGCATGATTCTCACTTACCACATGTGGTGGGTGTGCATCTCCAACTGGAATTCTGTGATCGAAAATCTGGGGCTCCTGCACTTCATTGTCCTCTTCTCGGGGTTGTTCGCTGTGACACTAGTTCTTAACCCATACTGGACCTACAAAAAAACTCAGCAGCTCCTCAGCCCAACCGACTGGAACTTCGAGGAGAAAGCGAGGGAAAACGGGCAGTTAAATGGTGAAACACGCGACAAGAAAAGGATGTGAACTGAGGCAGCAGTTCTGAGGGCAACAGGAGGATACAGTGCAAAGTGACTCTTTGCACATGAACTAGGGGCTCAGTGGCAAAGTGATTCCTTTATGTGTGACTCAGAAGGATTGAAAAGCATTACTGGAGTTCCATGTGTGCAGACACATGAGAACTTCAGCCCTTTAGTTACGAATGGCACTAACAATTCTGTCAGGTTGGACAGTGTTTCACAACGTGGTAGTGACCTGCTCCTGTGGCATCCTTTGTCCTAATGCTTCCAACTGGCTTTGCAGCTAACCTGTCTGTTAAGCTCAGCTTGAATCAAGTTTAGCTTGAATCCTGTTTCCCATGTGGAGGAGTTGCTGATGCTGAAAATCATGTTAAATTGTTCATTAAGACCAATTATGACCCGTGTTAGGGATGCATGGGAACCTCATTCCCATGTGCCAGTGAATCATTCCCAGTGGCTGAACTGCAGTCGTGGCTCAGGGTTGGGGTTTGTGCTTGGCTGGGATTTTGCTCTTTAAGTGCACTTGGTGAGGAGGAAGATAATTGTTGGAGGGAGTTGTAGTTTCCATGTTGCCTTCAGGATGGGAGGAGGTCACACCCACCCAAACCAGGTGTGGGAACACACACACACCTGTTACACTGCTGGGTAACCTGAGTGGTCCCTCCTGGACTTGAGGTCAGTGACATACAAGAGGCAACAGGAGAATGTGACTGTTCTGTCCTTACAAAGATTGCTGCTTGATTAGTAAGATCAGTTGGTTTGTAAGTCTCATACAGTCATGCAACTAGTTCCACTAATGCTCCTTTTATGGTTCCTCTTCTGCTTGGAAATGCACTTGGCTTTAGAGGGTTTTGGAGCCTGAGGGGACTCCTGTGTGGAGGAAAGCCTCGATCAGCTCTAGTGGGGGTTGGGACTGAATCGTCTCTTAGGTCTATTCCAGTCCCTAAAATTCTATGATTC